CCACCTGGCACCACCGCGGAGCTCAGGACCGGCCCCGGTTCCTTGGCTCCCGCACGCAGGCGTTCGTTTCTTACGCATTTATTGCACACCTACTATGTGCTGGCCCTCACCATGATTTCATGCCGAGAAATGGCAAACAGTTGGCGCCCAAGAACTCTTTAAAACGAGGGGGAGAGGGGTCTTACACTACGGGTCAGCGGCTGAAATGGGGTTCTGTTGGCTCTCAGTGCCGTGCTAGTCCGGCTGCTGTAGAAAGCTTCCCGGGTGAAACCTTTCCATCCATGGTTTGTGGGGCCCCCTACCTGATCCGTGTTGCTACTTGACTCTTAAGCCTCCTCTCGCACCTGCCTTCCTCCAGCTCCAGGAGCACCTTTCTGTTCATCAGACACTCAGGGCTTGAGCAGCCTCAGGACATTGCACGTCTGTCCCTCTGTAGGACGCCTTTGCCCAGCTTTTCACGTGTCTGGTGCCTCCTCCTTGTACATATATCCCCTCATTGGAGAGGCCTTCCCTGACCACCTTTCTAAATTGGCCCTCGACTTCTTAATTTTCTTCAAAGCATTTGTCACTATCCACTCAACCAATATTGCCGAGTTCCTGCTGCCGTTTTTACACGTGCAGTTAACAGACAAAATCCTACCCCATGGTTAGGGGTTGCAGGAAGAGAGACCCGACAACAGATCAACAGCAAATTAGCAAACGAAGTAGCACAGGAAAGGCGAGAAGTTCTTTAATGGGAAAAGTGCCAGGTGAGAAGGCTTGCGGGTGGAGTTGGTGCAATTTTCAATGAAGCGGTCAGTTCAGGCCCTTGAGCTGATGGAGTAGTCTAATCGGGTGGCCGGATCGGGTGACACTGAGAGGTGACATTTCAGCCCCGCAGACGAACGGGAAGAGCATTCCTGGGAGAGGAACCAACCAGTGCAAAAAAAGCGCAAGACTGCGGAAGGAACTTCGAGAGAGCAAACTTTGGCTTTTCCTGATTTGCTCACTTCTTCAGGTGTGGCCCCTCTGGAACGTCAGTTCCAGGGCTGTAGCTCTGCCTGTCTGCTGCAGTGACCCAGGCCCTTCAGCTGCGCTTGGCACAGAGTAGGAACACGTGTTGGATGAATGCGTGAACTGAAGGATGGAGAGAAGCCTGGGACCCTCCGGTCCCGATCCGATTACCCGAGATCCAGGGAGCCATCTGTCCCAGAGCCGTGCGGTGACCCCGGCAATCACTTTAGTCCTTGTCACCGTGGCACACGTCCCGCGGTAGCGCCACTGCTGCGGGCGCCGCCCGGGCGTCGCGTCGGGGGAATTCCGATGGAGCGGAGTCCCTGGGGCAGCGCTGCAGGCGCCCCGCCCCCGTCGGGCCGGGTCGCCGGCAAAACCTGGAGCCGCAGCGCCTGCCCAATACTGCTCGGACCGGCGGGGAGCGCACTGGGCATGCTCGGAGCCGGGCGGGGCCGAGCTCCGGGAAGGAGGAGCCCTCTGGAGGGCCAGCGACGCCCCACAGAGCTCCACCTGGCCTTTGGTGGCTCGCCCTTCCTCCTTCTCCCGGGAGCGGCTGGAGAAGTTCCCCCCACCCCCCAAAGCGCAGTGGGAAAACAATTCCGAGTTAGCAGAAGGCGTTGTACTCTCTCCATCTCTAGCTGCTGTGGATCTGAAGCGAGCACCTTTCCCTCTCTGTGTTCAAGTAATACGGATTCCCACGCTTTCATATGTGTGGAGTGTGAGGAATTGTATTAACACGAACTTGTTTCGTCCACTTGAAAGGTTTTTGTTTTCTTTTGGTGCTGGGGATTGAACCTAGGGCCTTGCACATGGTTTAGCACTCAGCTGTGAACTTTGCTACAGACCCCCGCTCCCCAAATCTCATTCTCAGTTATTCTTCATCCTCAGACCAATTTGGCAGCTGTCGAGATTCGAAAACCGAGGTGAACGGACATGCGAGTTCCTGGAGTTACCCCAATGTGCAATCCACTAGACTGAAACCATCTTTATTTTCTTTCAACATTGCTTACCGTAAGCAATGTTCTCAAATTCGAGCTAGAAATATCCGTATACCTAGAAGAAAAGACCTATTTTTTTTTCTTAATCATGCATTTCAAATCACCATAACAGGAACCAAATGAAAGGATATTTCCCAAACTGGAAACTAAGTGCTCAACAATAGAGGCATGACTATCAGGTTAGGGTATATTGGTTGAAATAATAACTTTTACACTGAGTTAGAACATGTGGTGCCAGGAAGACTTCGGGAATGTGATAAGGGAAGAAGCTGAAAGGCAAGTGGGTAAAGATGACGTAGCCCCATCACCAAGTCCAGAAGGAAATAGAGAAAAGTGTCAAGTCTGATTTTTTTTTTTTTTTTTGTAGTAGGGTTATTTTTTTTTCAAGTTTATCTAAGCAAAGAGCTTAGATAACAGAGTTGATTCATGCTGTAATGTTGTTTTTGCAATCATAAAAACATTTATAAGACCAAATTACAATTTTTTTTTGTTTTGTTAAGTCTAATGGTAACCATGACTCTCATCAAGTTCAAGTGTGGCCAGTATTTTCTACACATTCTCTCTTCAAGTTTTCCCATCCTCACAGTGGACATTTTTTTCAGCTCAGTTTTACTGAAGGGCAATCTCAGCCCTGTTTATAGCTGGGAACAGACAGGGTCAGGATTTGAATGCAAGTTAGTTTGATTTCAAAACCAGGGTTGTCAGGTTTCGGGGCCCACTGCCTCTATGTGTGGTAGCTTACTGTGTTTTGATAAGAGGAGCCACAGAGTATTTTATTTTGGATTTTTTTTTTTTTGCCTTAGTTTCTTTATCCTTTGATGTGTTCATAGATTACATATTACCTTTAAATGTTCTGGTCTCCTGTTTCTCTCTTACTCTTAGGGCCAAAATGTTAAAGTCCATCCTTTTCAATCTGCTGTACCTAGAGAGACATAATGTTATTATCAGCAGAGAGAGTTGATCTTGTATCAGAAGTTCTCAAACCTTATTCAAATGGGGTTTTTGGAGGAACCCCTAGTCTATAGTTGAACATTGCAAATCTAGAGCAAATTAGGCCCAGATGGGAACAAAGCTGCACAGAAAGAATCCAGATAACCAGGCTGGTTCAGACAGAACCCACATAGATGACTGTTCTTGGGCAATAATTTTGGGGGCAGGGTCACAACTCAGTGTAACCATGGTCCATGAACTTCTCAGGAACTCGCTGATAAAAAGTAGAGCTGATGGCCTTGATACTATTTGCTGAGGCAGTCAGAGGTCCCAGGGGGAGCACTGCTCCTGTTGTTAACCCCCCCCAAAACTAATTGGCTCTCCCTTTTAAACATACTGGTAGACTAGCCCAGAAATCTAGAAACCAAGACACAGCAACAACAAATCAAAGAGGGTCATTTCACTGGGGAGGAAGAGAAGCCACAAGCTGAGTACACGTCACTAGTAATGGACCAGATTCATCCAGGAGGGACGGGAGGTGAGAAAGGAAACAGTCATTAGCCACATTCCCAGAAACTGCCGTTTGGACAGAAGATCTGGTGGCAGGCACTGCACTCCAGCAGTTGGCTGGGGAAATTTATAGGAAGAGATTCCTAGAAGAATTGGTGAGGACTGTCATTTATATGAAGACTCAGCAAGTCTGGGCTCCACTTGAACTGCTTCAGTGATTGACAGGGCGGGGCTCCCAGCCGACATGCTAATGTTCATGAATTATTTGTGCAGCTAATGCAAGTCCAGGAAGGGCCCAGAATCCAGAAATACTTGGGCAGATGTTGCTGTTGTAATAGCATGGAAAAACACAGTGTAAAATTATGTGCACAGTATAGACTCAACTATGTGAATTACCAGGTTGAAACATAGAATATTGCCAATGTGTGGGTCAAAAATGGTTGAACATGGGCAGTTTCCTGTATTTCAACTCAATAGGTACACATAGGAAAAAAACAAGAAAGAACTGCACCAAGAATCTTGGGTTGTGGCTCAGTGGTAGAGTGCTAGCCTGTCATGCGTGGGTTTGATCCTTGACACTGCAATACCAAACAAACTAAACCAAAATATTAAAGTGGCTGTGTCCCGCTATTACATTTATAGTCAGAGAAACAAGCTACAGAAGGTCCTCGAGTTGTGGGGCTTCTATTTCTTCAAATATCTTTAGAGTTCACAAAATCTTATTTTACAAAAACATTTTTTGTTTGTTTGTTTTTGTTTTTTGTTTTTTTTGTTGCTGTTGGTTTGTTGTTGTTGTTGTTGTTGTTGTTGTTGTTGTTATTGTACTAGGGATTTTTGAACTCAGGAGCACTGAACCATTGAGCCACATCCCCAGCCCTGTTTTTGTTTTTTTAAGAGACAAGGTCTCAATGAGTTGCTTAGCACCTCAATTTTTGCTGAGGCTGGCTTTGAACTTGAGATCCTCCTGCCTTAGCCTCCCAAGCCACTGGGATTACAGGTATGCACCACTAAGCCAGGCCAGTGTGTTTCTTTTATTATGAAGGAAAATGGAATGAATTTAAATGTTGTCAAACAGAAAGAAATGAGGTCAAGAGGGGGAAAAATGGTTACTCCAGAATTATCCAAAGAATGTGAGAGAGGGGCATGCGTGTAATTCCAGTGGCTTGGGAGCCTGAGACAGGAGGACCAAGGGTTCAAAACCAGCCTCAGCAAAAGTGAGGCGCTAAGCAACTCAGTGAGACCCTGTCTCTAAATAAATTACAAAATAGGGCTGGGGATGTGTGGCTCAGTGGTCGAGTGTCCCTGAGTTCAATCCCCAGTACCAAAAAAAAAAAAAATGAGGAGACTCTTCTTGGAGGGAGAAGTGGGTATGTCTACCACACCAGAAATGACCAATAATGGCAGATGGTGACAGGATGCCTTTTGCTGGCTTGAAAATGAGAGAGAGGAACAAGTGGCCAGTGCTCAGTCAGGAACATGCTAGAGAGTGTCAAACCCAGGACCCTTATCCATTCAGCCTATGCTCCTGGACTCCACATTTGAGAAACACACATATTTATTTTTATTTTTATTTGTGTGTGTGTGTGATGGTGGAGATTAACCAGGGGCCCCTGCATGCTGGCCAACGCTCTCTATCACTGAGCTACACTCCCCCACCCATTCCAAAAATACAAACACTCAAGTCCCATGTTTAAACTTTGCAAAATGTCTTTCATGGCAAATTATCACTGAAAAGAGGAGTTTTGTTTTTATAAAACTAAGTAACAGATTTATCACTGAATACAAGAGCAGTCACGAGGTGGTGATTGTTAGTAATTAGGCATTAGAGAATTCATTCATTCATCAAGAGTTTCTTAGGCATCTACAGTGTGTCAAGCATTGCTTTGGGTGCTTGGGAGACATCGATGAACAGAACGAAGATCCCACTCTCATGGGGTACACATTCTAATGCAGGGATCTACAGGGAACAATAAGGAACAGACATGATAAAGAAATGAACTGTAAAGAGGGTAAGAATGCTAGAGAGCATGAAGGGGGCAGGAGTCCATTTTAAATAGGATTGAGAAACTTAATGGCTTAAGCAAAGCCCCAAAGGAGAACAGAGAGTTATTAATAGAGATATTTGGGAGAAGAATCTGGGCAGAGGGAACAGCCAGTCCCAAAGCCTTTAAGGGAGCAGATCTGGAGAAGAAGCCTGATAGGACAAGGAAAAGGTCAGAGAGGTATCGGGGTGGGAAGAACCTGAGGCCCTCTCTCCATTGGCTCCAGGAGGAACTCAGCCTTCCAGTCTGAGGTAGATGGGAGGTCAAGCCAATTTACTGTCAGATGCACTTGTCAACCCATCAAAAGGTAAATGTGGTCCCTTTAGATTGTCACTTGATGCCAACTTGACCGTAAATACAGATTGAAGCAATGGAACCAAAATCATGAGGCAGCCCTCCTTTACAAGAAGCTCAGCCAGACAGTCCAAATTGTGCATATATTTTTAATATTAAAATAGAAGTGGAGCCAGGCACAGTGGCGCACACCTGTCATCCCAGTGGTTCGGGAGGCTGAGGCAGAAGGATCTCTAGCCTCAGCAACTTAGCAAGGCCCTTAGAAACTCAGTGAGACTCTGTCTCTAAATAAAATACAAAATAGGACTGGGGATGTGGCTCAGTGGTTGAGTGCCCCTGGGTTCATTCCCCAGTACCAAAAAAAAAAAAAAAAAAAGAAAGAAAGAAAGAAATGGAAATGGAAAATATAACATCAAACAACTCTATC